CCGTTTTCTTTAATTGGGCACTTAGTGCTATGAACTTTCCTCTTAGCACTGCTTTCATAGTGTCCCATAGGTTTGAGTATGTTGTGTCTTTATTTTCATTAAATTCAAGAAAGACTTTAATTTCTTTCTTTATTTCTTCCTTGACCCAGGGGTGATTCAGTAGTTGACTGTTCAACTTCCATGAATTTGATGGCTTCCTGGGGGTAGCACTGTTCTTGAATTCTAACTTTAATCCATCGTGGTCTGACAAGACACAGGTGGTTACTAATATTTTTTTGTATCTGTGGAAGTTTGCTTTGTTACCCAGTATGTGGTCAATCTTCGAGAAGGTTCCATGAGCTGCAGAGAAGAAGGTATATTCTTTCCTATTTGGGTGGAATGTTCTATAGATGTCTGTTAAGTCCATTTGATTCAATACCTCCAATAATTCTCTTATTTCTCTGTTAGGTTTCTGTCTGATTTACCTGTCCATTGGTGAGAGAGGAGTGTTGAAGTCTCCTACTATTAGTGTGTGTGGTTTGATGACTGCCTTGAGTTCTAGAAGTGTTTCTTTTACATAAGTAGGAGGCTTTATATTAGGGGCATAGATATTCAGGATTGAGACTTCCTCCTGATGAATTGTTCCTGTTATGAGTATAAAATGTCCATCTCCATCTCTTCTGACTGATTTTAGTTTGAAGTCAATTTTGTTGGAGATTAGAATGGCCACCCCTGCTTGTTTCTTAGGTCCGTTTGCTTGAAAAACTTTTTCCCAACCCTTTACTCTGAGTAAATGTCTGTCTTTGTGGTTGAGGTGTGTTTCTTGTAAACAGCAGAATGTTGGATCCTGTTTTCGTATCCAGTCTCTTAGTCTGTGCCTTTTTATAGGTGAATTGAGTCCATTAATATTAAGTGATATTAATGACCAGTGGTTGTTGACTCCGGTTATTATTACTTTTTGTTTGTTTGATTAATAGAATTTGTATGTGTCCCTTCTTTGAGTTAAGCTCGTGAAGGGTCGCTAGATGTCTGAGTTATTGTAAGCAGTGCTGGCAATGTTGGACTCCTTGGGTTGTGATTTTCCTTCTATTACTTTCTGTAAGGCTGGGTTTGTGGCTGCGAATTGTTTAAATTTGTTCTTATCCTGGAATATTTTGTTTTCTCCATTGATAGTGAATGATAGCTTGGCTGGGTATATTAGTCTGGGCTTGCATCCATGGTCTCTTAGTTTCTGCAGTACCTCTATCCAGGACCTTCTGGCTTTCATGGTTTCCATAGAGAAGTCTGGTGTAAGTCTGATAGGTTTACCTTTATAAGTTACTTGCCCTTTTTCCTTTGCAGCTCTTAATATTCTTTCTTTAATCTGTATGTTTTGTGTTTTGATTATTATATGGCGAGGGGATGTTTTTTTTGATCAAGCCTATTCGGTGTTCTGTATGCTTCTTGAACCTCCTTAGGAATATCATTTTTTAGATTGGGAAAGTTTTCTTCTATAATTTTGTTGAATATATTTTCTGGTCCTTTGATCTCCAGTTCTTCTCCTTCTTCAATCCCTATTATTCTTAGATTTGGTTTTTTTATTGTGTCCCAGATTTCTTGAATGTTTTGTTGAGAGAATTTGTTGGATTTGCTATTTTCTTTGATCAGAGCATTTATTTTCTCTATGGTATCTTCAGACTCTGAGATTCGTTCTTCCATCTCTTGTATCCTGTTGGTTATGCTTGATTCTGTAGTCTCTGTTCGTTTACCTAGATTTTCCATATCCAGCCGGCCCTCGTTTTGTGATTTCTTCATTGCCTCCATTTCAGTTTTCAATTCTTGAACTGTTTCCATTACCTGTTTGATTGTTTTTTCTTGGTTTCCCAGTATATCATTCATGGATTTACTCATTTCTTCGATGTTTTTTTTTATATTTTTCATCCATTTCTTTACTCATTTCTTCAATCTTATTGTTATACTTCTCATCCAGTTCTTTAAGGGATTTATTCATATCCTGTTTAAGGGACTCTATTGCTTTCATAAGGGCATTTTTTCCCGCTTCTTCGGAATTAAGAGGTTCAAGTCCTTCTATTGTAGGGTCATTGGGTTCTGGTGTTTTCATGTTGCTTTTTAGATTGTTGGAGGAGTTCTTGCCTTGGCGTCTGCCCATCTCTTCCTCCAAATGCTCTCTACTAGATCTTCTAGTACCAGGTCAGGTTCCCTTGTTGGGCAGGGAATTCACTGACAGAAGGCCTACCTTTCCTCAGGCAGTCTGGATAAAGGCTGGGACGGGATTCAGGAGAGCTCCGCAGGGAGGAGTCGCCTCTGCCTGGTGACC